TGAAAACAGCAGTCCTTGAAGACAGGACTAATCATACACACATCTGCCTGATTCCCAAGCTACCAGAGGCTAATACAATGCCAGACTTTCGACCAATAAGTCTGTGTACTGTAAGTTACTAGATAATCTCAAAAATATTGGATTTACGGTTCAAAAATATTTTAGGTTTTATGATCTCGGAATCCCAAGCTGCTTTTGTCCCAGGAAGAAGTATCCAAGACAATATCCTAGTGGCACATGAATTGTTACATGCCTTGAAGTCAAAAAAGGATTGTGCAGTACAGTATGTCGGAATCAAAACAGACATTAGTAAAGCATACGATAGAGTGGAATGGGATTTTTTGGAGGAAGTCATGAATCGTATGGGGTTTGCGTCTACATGGATTAAATGGATCATGGCCTGTGTACGCTCTGTTTCATTTTCAATCCTTATCAATGGTTCTGCTTATGCTGATTTTAAACCATCTCGAGGACTAGGACAAGGGGATCCTTTATCGCCGTATTTGTTCCTTCTTTGTGTCGAGGTCCTTTCGCAAATGCTCCTCAAAGTTGAACATCAAAACGAGTTCCAAGGGATGAATCTTGCTTGTTAATGTCCGTCAGTGAGCCACCTATTATTCGCGGACGACTCTATCTTCTTCTGTCGTGCTACAACCTTAGACTGTGCATCGATGGCAAGAACTTTACAACACTATGAAGCTATATCAGGTCAGAAAGTTAATTTGAATAAATCATCTATAATCTTTGGAATGAAAATAGATGAGCGTCATAAACGCAGTATACAAGAGATACTTTGTATGTCACGTATTGGAGGTGGCGGCAAATATTTAGGACTACCGGAGCAATTCGGGAGGAATAAAACAGAGTTGTTCAATACTGTGATATATCGGATTAAGGAAAAGCTTGGGATCTGGTATAATCAGTTTTTAAGCCCTGCAGGAAAAGAAGTGTTAATCAAATCCGTGATATTAGCTAAGCCTATCTATTCAATGAACTGTTTCTTACTACCAAAAACAGTTACAGCTCAGATAAATAGCATTGTTGCAGAATTTTGGTGGGGATAGGATAGTGGCAAGCGGAAAATACCATGGAATTCCTAGAAAAGATTATCACTGCCAAAGAAGGAAGGAGGACTTGGATTTCGTGATTTGCATAAATTTAATCTAGCGCTCCTTGCAAAACAAGCTTAGCGTATTCTCCAAAATCCGACTTTGCTACTTGCCAAGATTTATAAAGGAAGATATCATAACACTTTGACATTCTTACAGTCAAAGTGTGGAAATCAGCCATCTTATGGATGGCGCTCAATACAAGCAGGAAAAGCACTGCTCGAAAAAGGGTTAAGAATACAAATTGGGGATAGAAATACAACTAAGGTTTGGACGGATCCCTGGCTTCCAACTCTGCCTCCGAGATTGATTAGTGGTCAACGTCCAAACATGAATATCAATGTGACAGAACTGTGGATCTCAGGCCTTCGAGAATGGGATAGAACAAAGCTGGAGGCAATCTTAATTTCAGAAGAAGTGGACTTGGCTTTACAGATCAGATTGTCCAATTATGCGGGTTCGGATCAGTATATATGGCCGTACACAAAAAATTCAGAGTACACAGTAAAACCTGGATATTGGGTAGCTTGTCATTTGGATGACGATGATAACGATGCAATATTAGCTCCACCAGGTTCTCCCGAATTGAAACAAGAAATTTGGGCTTTGGAAATCATTCCAAAGATACAACATTTTATATGGAGGGCGATATCGGGCGCATTACCAACAGCAACACGTTTACAAACTAGGAATATTGACTCAAACACAGTATGTCAAAGATGTTGTTTAGAAGAGGAGACAATTAATCATGTTTTGTTTGAATGCGGATATGCAACTGGAATATGGAGGTGTGCAAACTTTTATCAATTTGATAACCCAAGTTTGGAGCTCGAGGACAATATAAGAGTCATGCTCCACATTTACGCTAATAGCACATTGCCTTTACAGGTCCGTCTTCTTCCCTTTTGGATTGTATGGTTTATATGGAAATCCAGAAATGAGTTTTTATTTGCTCAACGCTTGGTTCATCCGAATGAAGATGCTCAACGAGGTGTACATGCGGTAAATGAATTCATGGAAGCCATTAAATCAGATGTTCGAATGTCCAACCAACCCCACCAAATTAGTATGGATCGTAACAGGAATTGGAGTCCACCATCCGAAGGGTGGCTAAAATGTAACTTTGACAGTAGCTTTTGTGCAGGCCTCTCTTCCATGGGCGTTGGCTGGATTATACGAAATAGCAGAAGTGAACATATAATATCTGGATGTGTGAAAATTGTTAATGTGCAGACACCATTACAGGCAGAAGCTACAACTTTTCTATATGTATTGCAATATATTTGGGCAAAAGGGATGGCGATAAATTCGGTTTGAAGGTGATAATCAGGAGCTTATAACCATTGTTAATAGTTGGGCGTTGAATACAGAGCTGGGGAATTTGATTCATGATATACGACACTGGACTCAGAAGCTACCCCTATGCTCTTTGAATCATGTTAATAGGGAGAGAAATCAAATCGCTGATTCTCTTTCTAAATTAGTTTATGAGTTATCTGATTTGTGTGTAATGTTTTCAACTCCACCTCGATGGATGATTCCATATTTGTATTTACTATTCACAGTTTAATATATTAATAAAAGTAGTTACAAAAAAAAAACATTAGGGACTATAGGGTTAAATCTATAACATTAGTGCAATCTCTTTATGTCAGACCTCAACGATTCAAATCCACTACATATTATTTGAGAAGTAACATTTTTGAAAATAGCTGATTTGTCAACACTACAGCCAAAGTTAGTACTTTTAATTGATGACATGTAAATGTGACATGTCAAACTTCCTAAAATAAACGAAATATTTTGATTGGTTGAATTAAAATTATAGAAATTGTAGAATTAAAACATAAATAAACTGGATTATATTTATAAGAAATTTAAATTAACAGAAAATAAAAGTTATTATAATTTCAATTTTTTACATATATTCATAATTTCATAAAATATAATTACAAATTTTTTTAACAATATATATATTATAATTTTATATAAAACGAAAAAATAATACTAAATTATCCAATAGAATAATAAAAATTCTATTTATTAATAATACTTGAAGTATGATATATTTTTATTTCGGGAAGTTATTAATTAACAAAATATATTAATAACATCTAAACAAGTTTTAAATAAACAAATTATTAAATAATATAATTTTAAATAAAATATAATCATGATAAAAATAATTAAAGAATAAAATGTTAAAAATAATAAAAAATAATCAACTTTTATTGAATTTTTTTTTAAAAAAAACGTAATTTTAAATAATTTTTCTTTTCAAACCAATATTTACTAAAAGAATAAAGTATATACTAATTATTATTTTATAATATTAATAGGACCATATATTTTTCTATAATTTTTATCATCTTTTTATTGTTGTTTTCTAAAATGTACATAACTTATGTTACCATCTCATCTTATCTCTTATCATATTTTAAATAAAATAAATTTTATATCATATGTATATATATATATATAAATTTATTTTTATTATTTATCAAAATTTTGAGAACATAAATAAAATGAAAAGCAACTGAGCGAAAGAATAAATTATAATAAGATGAAACAATATGAATAAGAAATAAAAATAGAAGTATATAAAAATAAATCTCTCGCACTTTGTTTTACAAAGTCACTTAAAAACTTTTAACAGAGCAACTCTAATGGTAACACTATTAGTATGGAGGTCTTAATAATTAATTATTAATATTTGGTAGAATTTTTTTATTTTATTTTCTGTGTTAATTTTTCTTTCCATTCATATTTTGCCACTTGTCTTTATCTGTTCTTAAACCAGAAAAAGGATCCTATTTTAGACACTTGTCTAAAGTATTAGACACTCTATATTATTTTATAATTCAGTTATATTATTAAGAACTTGTTTTTAGATCCCTACAAATCTGCATTGGGGTTTTTAGATCCCTAAGAGCCATATTTTAATTTTTTTTACAAATACGCGTACAGACATAAATATTAATTGTACATTAGTTGAGGTCATATGCAAACTTTTCTGTGCATGTATTTTGTTAAGATTGATTACAGACTAATTTTTATTTTAATTATTATACAAATTTTATTTTTAAAAAAATATTTATCTATTCTAAGTGTAGTGAAGTGGTTGGTATGTCCGCACATGTGTGTCAACCATCTATCCGCTCTTAAAAATAAGTAAATATGGTAAAAACTATTTCAGTTTAATTTGCAATAAATTAAGAAAATATATACTTAAAATATAGTATATATATATACAAATTTATATTATGTAAAATGCCAAAAAACATATTGTAGATTGTGTAAGAAGAAATAAAGCATATTATAAAAATATTTAAAAATATTATAAGAATTTAATTATTATTTAACATAACTTTTATATTTGTGATTATATATTATTACAAGTATTATAAAAATAAAGTTTTTAAAATACATTAATTTCAGAAAGAAGTTTGTGAAATATTAAAACAATATATATTTATTATACAAATGTTCAAAAAAACTAATCAACATTTAAATATTATAATTAACAATATAAATAAAAAAATTATACTCCCACATCTATGCAGGCAACCACCTCGTCTACAGTTAAAAAAAATTCCTTTATCAAGACGAGTCCCCTAAATGAAAAGGAAAGTTGAAAAAACAGAAAACAAAAAAATGTAACTGAAAGAGAAAAGGAAGGATAAAATTTTAGTACAGACTTGGAGGCGGCGAAGGGAGATAAACATCGGCGGCGAAGGGAGATAAACATCGGCGGCGAAGAAGAGAGCTCACGAGGATTTGGATTCTCTCAGTATTTGCTGAGACTGAGGAGATTCTGTGTGTGAATTGAGATGGTTCCTCCAGTAATCTATAAGTATCGGCGAAGGAGAGATCCAAGGGTCCGAAGGGACAATGATGGTTCGTTGATGAGGACTCATCGGGTCTCGCCTTACCATTCTATCGACAGACCCAACTCCAGTTTTATCGAGGTACGGGATGTGAATCCTTTATTGAGTGAAGATGGTGATAGAATTCGAGATTTGGGTTGCGTTGAGGATGAGACTGAAACTAGACATGGTTCCGGTAATTTGGTTCTTCACTGTGACGGCGATTGCCTCGACAAGGACAAATGCAGCAGTTTCGTTTCATGTAGCAACTTGGATGATTTATTCTCTGGATTCGTTTATAGAGGTGTGAGGAAGACAAGGAATCAACTTGGAAGTAAAACAATAAGTAAACTTGTTGATGATACTGTTTTTGAATCTCAGACTCAGGCGAGAAGAGTTTCTCCATACTTCCAGGGATCCACTGTTTCACAACGGTCCAGAGAGGGCTGCGATTCTGATAGTGTTGCTTCTCAAAGTGGAAGAAGTTACAGGAAAGAAAGCAGAAAACTTCAAGCTAAGGTCCCAAGAGTTTCACCATACTTTCAGGGATCAACTGCTTCAGAACAGCCTGACCCGCCAAGGAATTTGCGTCAGTATTTTAAGGTCGTGAAAGTATCAAGATATTTCCATCAAGTAAATGAAACACAAAAGGAGAGATCATCAGGAAGGGTGAGGAAAACTCCTCTTGTGAGCCCTTCACTCTCCCAATGTCAGAAGACCAATGAGGCATATCTGCGGAAAACGCCGGATAACACATGGGTGCCTCCACGATCTCCATGCAATCTGCTTCAAGAAGACCATTGGCATGATCCATGGCGGGTGCTGGTCATATGTATGCTTCTCAACAAAACATCTGGTGCACAGGTTTGTGCTCGTTCCTCTCCTTTTTTTCCCCATATCTTTGCTGAACTTTTGCAGTTTTAGTTTTGTTTAATAGCATTTGAGACCAAATTAATCAGGTGGGTTTGTTTAGTGTTGCCATTTGCTTTTTGGATAGTAAATGTAAAAATCATTCTGGAGAGAAGTCCAATATTTTGCTTGGAAGTAGTAGGTGCAGTCTTTGGTTTGATTAGAAATTGATTTATCCATGAAGTGAATTACTTGCTCTTGTTGAATTCGGTAAGAAGAGAGGGATTTTTGGTTGGTCAGTGAATTTTGAACACGTGATTGCAGACGCGGCGAGTGATATCAGACTTGTTTGCACTGTGTCCTAATGCAAAGACTGCAACAGAAGTTGAAGAAAAGGAGATAGAGATTCTGATAAAACCTCTTGGATTACAGAAGAAGAGAGCCAAAATGATGCAACTGTTTTCCTTTGAGTATCTTCAAGAGAGCTGGACTCATGTCACTCAACTGTATGGCGTTGGAAAGTAAGTCTCCGAATTTCCAAGATCTGAAAATATAATATTTGCTATTGAGAGTTTTGTTCATGATGCTTCTTGGAGAATTATTCACAGGTATGCAGCGGATGCGTATGGGATATTCTGTAATGGAAAGTGGGATTGTGTGAGACCTGATGATCATATGCTAAACTATTACTGGGAGTTCCTCAGGATTCGGTATGGGTTATAAGTGGGAAGATACAAGTATATACTGTGCTAAGTATATCTGTTTTTTTTTGCTGTCACCAATGTTGTAAATGAAAGAGATCATGTCTTATTGTTTGTTTAATTCAAAATGGAATGTGTTTTGGTATCATCTATGGGTTTGTTTAATTTAAAATTGTCAAGAACCTAAAGCTGGGGCATGAAAATTGAGGGTCAAATGGCTATGCGGCTTTCTCAAATATAAATAAACAAAATAGAGTCAAGTTTGTTGAGAAGATTGAGGCAACCAGGCAACTAACTCCCAGTATAAGCCAAATCAAAGGACATGTTTCTTGTTTTTTTTTGCCATCTGAATATTTTCATCAACCAATTTGAAGAATATATTTTTAAAATATATTGTTGGAATACGAAAACTAATGCAAAGGAAGAAAACAAGGTAAAAAACTAAGACTAACACAAATTTTAATCCAACACACAAAGATTTAAGAAGTTTAACCCAGAAATTATAACATTTATCAACCAATAAATCTTTCATTCTTTTGAAGACCCAAAGGATTATCGAACAGGTCCTTGACCTCACCAATGATAAACAAAATCCTTCACAAAGCCTACCTTTTGATTCTAGCAAATCAAAGCTTCAATACCCGGCAAGATAGAAACTAGAGATCTTCCGGGAACGGTAGAGTCGAACAATCTTTCACATGCACGACTGAAAATGCCTAGAAAGAAGTTTGAGAAGAGATCACGAACAGATCCGTAAGGAAGCGCTAAGGAGCGAAAGATCCAACCCGAATAACACCAAACTCTAAGGAAGAAGAACGGTGAAAGCTCGACATGGATAGGACCCGAACCAGTCTCCAAAAAAGCAGAGGGAAGACAAGCCAGCAGGCAAACGAAGTAAGCGACCGGAAGAAACAGATCTAGTTTACAGATATAGAAAAACCCCCGTAGATCTGGCCAGATCTGATAATTAAACTAAAAAAATCGAAATTATACTCAAAAAAAAAGAAAATCTATGTTAATCAAAAAGAAAACAGAGAAGAAAGCAAAGGAAATAGGCCAGCGCCGGTTCTGAAGAAGCAGCCAAACGCTAACCACCGGAAAAATTTAGGAGAAGCTACTCAAAGCCGTACCAAAACTTTTAAGAGCTTAAGGCAAAAATAAAAATAACTATTTTTTATATATTTTTAAATAATAATATTAGTATTATTTTCTTAAAAATGTTAAAGTGTCAATTATAAAAATAAATAAAACTTATTAACAATAAATATTTATTTTAGTATGGTGGTTAGTTCTTGAATTTAGGAGTGAAATTACAAAAAAACAATTTTTAACTATATTTTAACTATTATATTATTATTAGTTTTTATGAATTAAGATATCAAAATTATTTATTATCTCTCAAGGTGAGGCAAATGCCTTTTTCCTAACAAGGTAGGCACGGCTCTGAAGCTACTTTGGAGAAGAGAGAGAGAATAGAGCAGTAGGGCGAACTCCCTTTGCTGGGATGGTTAATTATAAACGGAAAAGATTCCACAATTATTCAAAGGACATATCTCAAACGTAACAAATATTTAAATATTAAGTGATCGGCATGCACCGTGTGCAGGCTATAAAATATTTTATATATTCAATTATGATTAATATAGTATTGAAGATATTTTATTTGTATATAATTAATTATGTATTAATAATAAACTCATAAACATTTGATAATAAAAAATAATGATAAATTAAATAAAGTATTATATATTTCAATAGAAAATAAAGATAAAAAATATTAACTAAAGTATTAAAATATTTTTTTGGATAAAAAATGTACATATGGTAATTAAATAAACAGGAAAACATTAAAATATATAATAATTTATTTAATTTTTATTTTTGGTCCGCATGCATGTGCAAGTATAATTTTCTTATAGACATAATTAGTTGTAATATTTAAGTATTGATTATTATTTTTTATATATTATGTAAATGTTATGTTTTTATACATATACAATTTTAGTGTTCAACAACGATCACATAAATGTTTCATCGTTTTGTGTCTTTTGAGAACTTTTTATTTTTTCTAGCGTTTACAGTAATATATAATTGCAAATGTAAAAATTATATTAAATAATAATTAAATTCTTATAATATATTTTGAATATTATCTATATAATACTTTCTTTTTCTTTTTACATAATATAATCTTGCTAATATATATATTTTAAATATACATTTTTCCTTAACCCATTATTAATTAAACCATATTTATTTATAGTAAGAACGGTGAGCTGGTTGGTATGCAACATCATAATTTTATATGCAAAGCTATTCTTTCAAAAGGAAGAAATTAGTTGTCTGAAAACTTGGAAGCAAATGAAAAGGTGCCTAACTCGTAATTTTTTAATATATACACACTATGCGGTAACAATAAATACAATCAAATTAAATAAATAAAAAACATATACACACACATAAGTATATGGAGAATTGGTATACTACTATCTATATCTACTTAAAAATTGGATGAGCCGCCTCACGGATCATCTAGCCTTACAATACCATCTCATACTCACCTTCCAATGTCATTTCGGGTAAAACTGTATCGCTCGGGTAGTCAAAGTTCTTACACTTAGTGTTGTTGGATACGTCCTTGAGAACAAAATTCCCATTATCTAAAAGCTCGACGACTACTATCTCCTGGCCTCCGATCACATTGGTGGACCAAATATGGTTTTATCAATGATTGAGCATAATCAAATTGTTCTTTGCAAATCTCAACGTACCAGAGGAATGGGAGAAGGGAAACTCTATGTTCGCTACCCAAACATAAATCCTTGGGTTACGTTTGCTATACCATATTCCAATATATGATCGGGTGTCAAATCCAAAAAACCCCAACTCGAAGTGTTTAAAGACCACGGTACTGTTTTCCCACATGCTTAGTGTTCCTGTTCGGGACACTATGCTAACTGATATACAAAGTGATTGAATTAAAGAGGAGTAGAAGAAAAAGAAAACGATATTCATCATTAAGAGTAGAACATATAGATAAAAGAGAAGAGTTTGGAATGAAGATCGCTTAGATGAATCAAATGAGGTTGGAATGTACATATAGATGAAGAGGATGCATGTTCTATAATAAACAACTAGGTAATAATCCGCACCTTGTGCGGAAAGAAATAATTATTATTTATTTAGATTTAATATAATTTTTAAATTATATAATATATAGTATAATTAAATTTATATAAATTTTATATAATATTACACAATAACATTGACAATATAGTTTTTTTTAAATTATAAAATATAAGATAATTTAGTTGTAATGTAAATTAATTTAAATTAATTTAAAAATTAAGTAACATGCATAACACATGATATAGCTGGGTAAATATACGAAGTTACCATACAGATTTTCTATATTACGTAATTGATGATATGATTCATTATTTTTACCAATGTCCAAAATTTGGGTATACAATATTTATGTACATATTTAATTACTTTTGACTCTTAAATAATTAAATATTATTAGTTAAATAATTTGTTACTTATCTATTAAATATTATTAGTTAAATAAATTAATAAATTTTCATATTCCCAAAATGGACTTGTTCAAAATATGATACAAATCGGTATGATAATATTTTTTAGCAAAATCTATATAAATATATGGTTTCATTAATATTATAAATTAATAATTACCATAAAATAATTATATATAAATATATAATTATGATAATTTACTAAAATATAAATATATAATGGTTTGTTTTTAATTTTATGGTTTATCTACAATTTAAAAGTGAAATATTTAAAGATATCATTAACTTTTATGTCATATATATTTTTTAATTAATTATTAAAATAATATATTGCTAATGTATAATTAATTATTAAAAGTGTTATTTTGCTGATGTGTCATCACCTGAATCATTTTTAGCAAAGTTATAAAAATAGACTTATGTTACTAGATTAATTATATATTATGTCACTCACATTAATTTGGTTATACATTAGTTTATATCAATTATATTGATGATGATTCATCAAGATATTTTTTTTTTCTATTTCTTACCAAAAATATATCATATTAATTATTTCTTTAAATACTATATTTTATCTCTTATTTTTATAGAAAAATAAATCATCACATCACTCATATAGTAATATATATATATATATATATATATATTTCTGTGTTATAATTTGAATTTCATAAAACAAATATAAATTACTCAAATGATTAATATGTTATAAAAGACTAAAATTGAAAATAAGGATGTGTAGATAGATGATTCATAAATTATTATAAAAATACATAAATGATAAAAAAAAACAGGAAGATTAATTTAATAGATATTATTATTTTTAATTTATACAACAAAATTACTTGGTGAAAAATTAAAATATTTTTGTAAGGATATTATATAATAATTTTATTAAACTTTTTGATATTAAAAACATTTTTATTGAATCAAAAAGTTAAGAATGTATAAGTATTGACTCAGTTATATACAATTTTTAATAATTTATTAAAAATAATAAAACCTATAATCTATTTTTATATAATCCTTATGTATATTTAGTATTTAAAATAAATTTTACAGTAATTTTCTTTTCTTAAAAGTTAATATTCTTATGACTATAGTTTTTATGGGTTAATCTAAATATGTATTTACATTCGTATAAGAAATATTAAAATCAATTATAAAATCTTATAATCAAATTTTATTTTTACAATTTTAATACTCTCTATTTTAAAATATAAGTTATTTTGTATCAAAGCACAAAGATTAAAAAGCAACTTTAAAAAAGTAAGCATTTAGTATATAAATTAAATATAATTCAACTAATTATGAAAAACTGAAAAATATAATAGGTCACATAGTACTCATAGGAAGTAGTAAAAAAATATGAAAATAACTATATTGTGAAACAAAACAAAACCTTAAAAAAAACTAATATTGTGAGACAGAGGAAGTAGTAATTTTTTTATTATTATTATAACACATTAGATACTTAATAATTTAATCAAAATATACTCCCTCTATTTTTTTTTTAATTTTAAAATCATGTTATTAATCATGGGTTATAGAAAATATAAAACGAGACTTCGTATTTCTATCTAGATTGCACATATATATTTAATTTTAAACTAATTTATATTAGAATTAAATTACCCTAAAATTCATAAATTAAAATAAAAAAATATTTTGTCAATATTACAACATAATACTATAAACAACT